AAACAACAAAAAATAACAAAAACAACAAAAACAACAAAAAATAACAAAAACAACAAAAACAACAAAAAATAACAAAAACAACAAAAACAACAAAGCCTTTATCCCACTAAGTGGGGTCGGTTACATGAATCTTTTTTATCCGTTGCATCCCATTGAGTGTCTTATATTCATTTAATTTTAATAAATTAAGATCATTATCCGTTGCATCCCATTGAGTGTCTTATTTTCATTTAATTTTAATAAATTAAGATCATTTTTAATACAATATGCGCAGGTCTTTCTAGATATACCTCTACATTGCTTAATATAAGTCGAATCTAAAACATCTACTCTCCTAACCGGATCATCATTTAGTTGACGTTTAATGTGACCAAACCATCTAAGACAACTCTCTCTAGTTTTTCCGTCACAGGAGCTACATCAACCCTATTACGGTTATATTCATTTCACATTTTGTTTCTAAAGGTCTGTTTAGGGCAGCTGCAGCTTTTTGAATAATCTGCTGATAAGCTAGAAGTGTGACTATTACAAATATTTATTTTTTTGGAAAAGCCTGATCGCAGCCAGAAATCACCGCACCTAGATAGATGCGGTGTGAAAACGCTGTTTTCAGCGTTTTGAAAATGCATACAACATTTGAAAACGCACAAGCTGCAGTTTACCCAAACAAGCCTGGTGCATTTTCAAAACCCCACCGCACCAAATAAGCTGCCCCTAACGGGCCCTAAGTGTCAAGCTACTCATCCACCTAAGCATTCTCATCTCGACAACGAAGGCCAACATTCTGCGCCACAGAGCATTGCAGGTTTCACCTCCATCATAAAATTTTTCTTTTAGTGCTAGTGGTATTTTTCTATCGCACAATAGGCCCGAAGCATTCCTTCACTTCAACCTACCAACTTAAATTCTACTAATAAAGTTTCCATCTATATCACCAACACTGTGAACGATAGACCCAAGATATCGATAGCGTTCACACATTTTAATGATTTGATTACCCATAGTTACAACTCTATCACTAGAGCTACTACTACTAAAATTACATTCTATGCATTCAACTAACGAACTTTAACCAATCAACTTCAACCAACCATGGTTGAAGCATTCCTCCACTTCAACCAACCAACTTGAATTCTACTAATAAAGTTCCCATCTATATCACCAACACTGTGAACAATAGACCCGAGATATCTATGACGCTCACACCTTTTAATGATTTGATCACCCATAGTTACAACTCTATCACTAGAGTTACTACTACTAAAATTATATTCTATGTATGCAGTTTTAGTTCAACTCAAACGAAGGCCTTTAGATTCCAATGTAGACGTCCATAATTCAAATTTCTCAACAACAACAACAAAAACAACAAACCTTTATTCTACTAAGTGGGGTCGGCTACATGAATCCTTTTTATCCGTTGCAATCTAGTGAGTTTCATATTTTCATTTAATTTTAATAAATTAAGATCATTTTTTATACAATATGCCCAAGTCTTTCTAGGTCTACCTCTACGTTTTTTAACTTAAGTCGAATCTAAAACATCTGCTCTCCTAACCAGATCATCATTTAGTCGATGTTTAATGTGACCAAACCATCTAAGACGACTCTGTAGTTTTTTCCGTCACCGGAGCTACACCAACCCTATCATGGTTATATTCATTTCACATTTTGTCTCTAAGGGTCTGTTTGGAGCAGCTGCAACTTATTGAATAATCTGCTGATAAGCTAGGAGCGGCGGCTATTAACATTACAAATATTTATTTTTTCTTTTGGAAAAGCCAGACCGCAAACAAAAAGCTGTCACCGCACCTAGATAGGTGTAGTGAAAATGCATAAGCTGCCAAAATGCAGTTTACCTAAACAGGCCTGGTGCATTTTGAAAACGCCACAGCACCAAATAAGCTGCCCCAAACGGGTCCTAAGTGTCAATCCACTCATCCACTTAAGCATTCTCTTCTCAGCAACACTTAACTTTGTTTTATGTTTCTCTTTTAAAGTCTTGCATTCAGCGCTATAAATCATTGCAGGTCTCACCTCCATCTTATAAAATTTTCCTTTTAGTCCAAGTGGGATTTTTCTATCACACAATAGGCTTGAAGCATTCCTCCACTTCAACCAACCTACTTGGATTCTACTAATAACGTTCTCATCTATATCACCAACACTGTGAACAATAGACCCGAGATATCTATTTTCACATCTTCATCTTTCATTGTTAATGATTTGATCACCCATAATTACAACTCTATCAGTTGAGCTACTACTAAAATTACATTCTATGTATTCAGTTTTAGTTCTACTCAAACGAAGGCCTTTAGATTCTAATGTAGACCTCCATAATTCAAATTTGTCATGAACTCTTTCTCTAGTCTTGTCCAGAAAAAGAATATCATCAACGAAAAACATACACCAAGGTACATCCTCCTATAAATCTCTAGTAAGAGCATTCATAACTAAAGCAAAACGGTATGAGTTTAAAGCCAATCCTTAATGTAATCCAACTAAAATAGGAAAATATTTGGTCAATCCTCCTTCTGTTCGAACATAAATAACAGTTCTAGTATATATATAATTAATAAATTAAATAAGATAGTGCTCTTGAAATGACTTCTATAAGTAAAAATAAATGAAAAGTGAAAAATGTTAAAAGAAAATGAAAATATAATTAATAACATATTAAATACAAAAATAAAAAAAAAGGAAAAGTTTACTTTATAATCAACATATTTCTTTGAACATCCATGTTAGGTATTTTTATAAAGATTTAATGCATAATAAAATAGTTATTCACTAAATTTCTTAAAAATTAACATGTTTAATTGTCACTTTCAAGAAAATATTGGATATATTGGTATTACTGATAGGAGATGATTGATTTACAGAAGGAGAGACACTATTGGTGATGATAGGTGACATCATAAATATCTATTTGTTACTATGTTTTATCATTTTTATTGGTTTAATTGTTCTTTTATATAACTAGATGATTGTTTTTGTACTTGTTAGAGGATTTCTTATATATATTGTGGATTTGTGGCTCTTTTCTAGATCAATATTGTTGGGAACTAATGTTAATGTTTAAAAATGTATTTCATCGCGACTGTCATATCCGAAGTTCTTGGGCAGGTTCGAGACACTTGCAGCCCCATTATTGATAGATATTTACATATCATATGTTTAACAATCTAAGGAGTAACATCTGATTTGTCCATAGCTTCTAAACTAATCGCTTTGTCAGCAAAGACTACTTTTTAGTATTATTGTTGATTATGAGGAGGTTTATGACATTTCATAAATTTTGCCATATTGTCTTACATTAATTGTAAAATATCTTTGCGGAATTGCGAGCAAAATAGTTTTAGCACTTGCAATCGAGGCTTGGTATCTGTTACTCATCTTTTCCTTCATGGGTTGCATGTACAATCATATTCTGCTGTTTTTTATGCTATTGAAAGATGGTTTGTGTTGCTAGTTGTTGCTTCTTGTGATGTATTCATCTAAAAAGCATTCTTTATGAATGTGAAGGGTCGTATTTCAAGTTGAAACGAGTAAATTCATATTCTGGATGCAATGTCATTAAGAACGATCTCTTTTTCTTTCATTGTGAACCACTTGAATAGCCAAAAGTGGTCGAGAAAGTGCTTTAGTATAAGTTTTTTCCACTAATTCAGTCAGAAAGTTTTTAAGTCAAGAAAAAAAAAATCTTGAACTCAGAGATCATCTTGGGTGAAATTGAAAACTTCTTGCAGCATTGATTTTAAGCATTTTATGAATCTTTAGCTATCTTATATGACCTGAGATTAAGAACAATTGTCTGAAAAATGATTCCTAAGCTTCATGCTATGACTAATGCATCTTTATTAAGCTATTTAACCAATTTTGAAGGCTCAAAAGGTATGGAGTCACTCCCAGTCATTTGTGTGCATAACAAATACTTGAAATTTAAATACAAAGTAGAGTAATTTTTAGTTATGCATAGTACGGCTAAGATATCCAAATTACATGCTGATATGGTCGTCTTATTTGACAGAGCGCAAGTAATCTAGTGATGTGGAGCAGTAGATCATACATCTAGTGGCACTAGCTAGTTATAATAGTAGATGGGCCCCCTTGGATTATTAGTGGCAAATTCTCCATTGGATAAACAGAGCAAGTGGGAGATTCAAATGAACAATCAAGAGGAACAAATAATTGTGTTTTGCAGGATCTATGTTGTCTGGCGAGTGGGGAAATAGTGTGAGCGGATTGGCTAGCAGTGTGAGTGGTGGCACTAGTGACAGACACAGTGTACAAGCATTGGAACTAATAAGGAAATTTTTGTGAGTGCAAGTCCTCAAGGAATCTTCACAAATCCTTATGGGATCTTAGAAACATAAAAAAGAGATTCTTATAGGTGTGAGTCCTCAGGAACCTCACAGAACATTACAGGATCATCAATACAAGTGTCCTTAACGGGTTTTTATAGGGAACTCCCCAAGGGATCTTTGAGAGAGGAAAATTTGATGATTTAGAACTTTCATGATATATCAATTATGATAACAAATAAATTTGTGGATACATTTTTTGCTCCAGTCTCCTCTAATGGGTTTTTCTCATTATATGGAGAAGAATTGATATCATAAAATGCAATGATCGAGTTATTCGCTCAATCGGATCTATCCTAATAGAACAATAATCAACTATATTCTTAAATGCTAAATATTCATAGTTATATTCATTATATTGATATATTCTTAGCTATAATTTACATGTAGTAATTGATGTGGCAATTGAGTAATTGATAAAGTAATTTATCCTGTGATTATTGCGTATCACTTTGACAATTATGGTGCTCTCAACGGTCTAATTGGGGAAGGATCAATAGATTGTAATGATCCTGAATTAAAATTTCTGGCACCTTTTTAATTCCCTAACTTACAGACATGTAATAGCACTTTTACCGTTCTACTGCTATTTCAAATACTGCTTTGGCAATTAATAATGTTTGTGCTGTATAGTTTGTTTATCTCAGGGATAATTTGCTTTCATCGGTGAAGGGTATTGAAATATTGAAGCGGGTGAAGGTAAGCTGTGGTTTTTTAGATATCCTCTTATTTTCTTTTTCTATTTTGCATGTGAAGTTTGTCTAGATTTGGGAAGATAAGGTTTATGCCATCTTTGATCTGCACTTTCGCTCATCGATCTAGTTTGATTCTAAGTTAAAATAAATTTGAGTCAATGTATCACATTTCTTCTGCGTTTTGATAGGTTCTTGACCTAAGCTTTAATGATTTCAAAGGGCCTGACTTTGAGCCTCTTGGGAATTGCAAATCCCTCCAGGTTGACATTCGTTCATCATTTATCAAGAAATATGCTTACATTCACTGTTTTTTGAGTGTAAAGTACATACAATTGAAATTGAAGTTTTTGATTTTGCAGCAACTTTACCTTGCTGGAAATCAAATTACATCACTTGCAGGCCTCCCGGAACTTCCTAGTCTTGAGGTATGAAGATAGAAGAGAATCATGCAGTTAGCAGATCACAAAATCATTTGTAAGCCTAAAACTAGTGTTATCTTGTTGTAGTTTCTCTCTGTTGCTCAGAACAAACTAAAATCACTTTGCATGGCCACCCAGCCTCGGCTACAGGTCAACTACCATATAGTATATCTGTTATGTTAATTCTATCCTACTGTTTTCTATTTTTATCTTTCTTTTTACTCATCCAGGTTTTGGCAGCCAGCAAAAACAAAATATCAAGTTTTAAAGGTTTCCCACTTTTTCCTGTTCTTGAGGTTAGCATTCTCATATTGCTTCTTTGATGGCATTGTAGGCTTTATGTTGTGTAAGGCTTATAGCGAAGTTATGCTAACTTTTCTAGTAATACCTTTTTGTTTTTTGTTTTTTACTTTTTTTAAACTCTCCTCTTTCTTTTTTCTTTTGTTATTTCATCAAATAAAAAAAAGAAAATTGTATCATGCACCATAATTTTACTTGATCAAGCTATATTTGATTATTTCATTCATTTATATATGCGCCTATCATTCATCATAATCAGCCTTATTCTGGTTATTTGGGTTTTGCATTATGATTTTCCTTTCCTCATTTATTCCTCTTGAGCGCCGCTTGAGATATTTATCCAATTCTTCTTGAATAATTTTGAACATTTTACTGTATATAACCTTTGGTGTACTGCATTCTCTTTATTTTATATAAAGTCATTTTCAATTATGCGCAGAATCTACGGCTTGAAGAAAATCCTATACTACAACTACGTCATGTGGAGGCCGCATCTATATTATTAGTTGGCCCCACCTTAAAGAAGTTCAATGATCGAGGTATTTGTTAGTAGTTTTGAATCTGTTGAAACTTCTAATATCTTTCCAATTTCGTGATCCTCCATCTTTCAGCAAATTTCTGCTTGAGTTTGTCTTGATGATCTTTGCTCATCAGTTACAGGTTTCCAGACTTGCTTTCTTATTTCCAACAACTGAAGTGCCATTTTATTAGCATGATAAATTTGTATGAAGCTTAATATCGTTGAGCTTCTCATTATTGATGCCATTGCTTTTTATGTGGTTAGTGTCTTCCTTTTTAGCAGGTGCATATATATGCCTGATGCTTAATAGTGATACATAACACAATGCAACACTGGGCCATCCTATTTGCTGATTAAGTTAATGATATGTTCCCTTTATTTAGTTGAACAAATATCCTATATACATAACACGATGTAACACTGGACCTAAAATTGTGACTAGATGAGATTTGGGTTGGGCATTAAAGACATTCATGATAGGAGAGGTATGGAAAATGCACTTTTCCTATGCTTTCAGAGAGGCACTTGCTATGGTGAACTTGCTTTATTTTTTTTGTCTGGACTTGGGCTAGGAGCTTGGAAATACGTAAGCCGTAAAAGACGGACAATGAATTAAAATTTAATTATTTTCTCTTGATTACTTACAAATTTAAATTTATATATTTTCTAAAATTTATGTAAATATGAAAATAATGAAAGAGCCATAATATTTTAAAATCTTACTAAAATGAAATAAAATGCATTAGTCTTGAGTTGCCTTGTCTATGATATAGTCTCTTCTTTTTCACTTATTTGTATCTAAATTATTTATATTAACAACTTAGTGAGCTATCAAAATAACTCCGTAGGATGATTACAATTCTAAATTAAATTAGTTTATCGAAAGGAAAGTACTATGCATGTTGATCATCCTATTAAGCTTTAATGAAGTAATATGGAAAACTAAATGTTTTATTAACATTAATGATCATAAATACTTTCTAAAAAAAATAAAATATAATAATCTTTTAGATGAATAATGTTTCTTATATTTTATATAAATTTAATTTTTAACTTTTAGTGAACTTTAAATATCTTGATTTATAGGATTAATGATTTATAATCTTTTGTTGCTACTTGACCCAATAGCTTGAAATTTTGAAGACGAGAATAAGAGTCAATTGATGATTTAATTTTTAATTATTATATTTGGATTGCTAATGAATTTAAATTTATAGATTTTATAAGTATTTATATTAAAAAATGTTAGAAGTTATATTCGGATTGTATTTATTTCTTGTTTTCTTTTATTTATGTATTTCCTTTTATTTTCGGCTAATTATAGGGGTTTTTGTTTTTAGTTTATTTTATTTGATTCTTGTAATTTGGGAGATATATGTGTTATTTCTTTCCTAAGTTACATATATGAGTGTTATTTTTTTTCCTAAGTTTAGGATTTTTGTAAGCTATATTTAAGTCAACATTCATATCGATAAAATAATTCTGCTCAATTCTCAAAACCAACATGGTATCAAAGCAAGTAAAATTTTTTTTTTCTTCTTTTCTTTGTTTTGTGCCACTTGGAGGGAGGATCCATAACTACGATTTCATTCTGGTGATTTGAGCGCTTTCTTGGATTCGTAGTTGAAGTTTGCAATCCACATGTATGAGAGATGTCTATGACGCTGAAGAATGAAAATATTATGATTTGGTAGGTTTGTGAAGAAATCTGAAGCAAGAGTTCACACTTATAAGGGAGATTGGTGATGATTTTTCTTATGTCAACATGGACATGGAGTTTCTCGGGATTGTGTGCTGGCGTTATCTACAATAGCTAGCCAACGATCTAGAAATAAATTTCTAGGTTCTTCTTGATGCAGGAATTCTACGACAGCTCGGAATTCTTCCATGGAGGCAGCCTAAAATCTCCCTGAAGGCCATTCTTCGGCTCTTTCCTACAGTAAATATTCTTCCTATTGTACATCCTCTCCTTGCCTCGACAACACCAAGTGACCCTCCGCCAGGCCTTCTTCTTGTCTTACAACCCTTCTCTTTGACCTTGGCAACAACCGAATATTCTATTGTAGACAATTAGATCCCTTTCTAGTTTCCTTATAGGCCCTTCTATCCTGTTTCCCGACAGGGCCATAACAACCCCACCCGCAGCTTATCTAGCTAGTCTTTCAACGCAGAAGCAGTGGCAAAAAGCAACACCTGATCCTTGTCTTCTTGTAGAAACCAGAAATAAGACCAAGCCACCTTGATGGTAATGGCAAAGCAAACCGCTTGCAAGTCTATCTACGACAAGGCCCCAAGGAAGCAGCTGGCAACTAAGACTACCAATAAGTCGGCTCCTGTGACCAGTGGTTTTTTGTTTCAGAACAATTGCACTGAGGGAGATCAGGAAGTCCCAGAAGAGCACGAAGCTCCTTATCCGTAAGCTTCCCTTCCAACATCTAGTCCATGAAATTGTGCAAGATTTCAAGACCGATCTTCGATTCCAAAGTTTTGCCGTTGTTGTGCTTCAGGAGACTGCGGAAACTTATCTTGTCAGACTCTTTGAAGACACGAATCTTTGCGCCATCCATGCGAAGAGGGTTATTCTTATGCCGAATGATATATAGCTTGCTCGCCAGATCCATATCCCTCCTTGCCAGACGCAGGGATCGACTCCTTTCATGCCTTGGCGTCCAATCCTCTCCTTCGGCTCCATTGGAGCCATGACTGATTCCTCCACCTCTGAGTTTCCATCTGTCACTGTTCATGATTCCACTGGAGATTGAACATTTACCTCAATCCCTCCGCAGACCGGAGGACCTGAACACCACAAATTCAACCATACCCGTGATAAGTCTTAGAAAATTAGCGGGAAACCAAAAAAATTAGACTTTGACCAAATTTTCCACTGCTAAAGGACCTGCTACTTTTTTGGAATCTACAACGGTTCAACCAACCCCTTACTTAGATCATTCCTGAGTCACTATACTCTATTAAGAGTCAGGTGGAATAAGCTGCTTAGTTCTAATCTGTTCTCCTTGTCCTTTAAGGATCACTATTTGGGGAGGATGATTTATTTATTTATTTTTCTTTTCTCTTTCCTTTTTTTTTTCAAGAAAATGACATTGATGACGTCTTCACCTGTTCTCCTTTACCATCATAGTTTTTTTCCCCTTGCAGTAGGTCCTCCTAATGAGGTTTTTTTGTAGAAGGCCCTCACCCTAAACTTTTTCCGCAACGCCCTACCCCAGAATTTTTTCCTGCATCTGACCCTCTGCAAGCATGCCCTCCCCCAGAACTTTCTCCGCAATGCCCTACCCCAGAATTTTTTCCTGCATCTGACCCTCTTTGAGAGCTTTTTTCTTGCAGTCGGCCCTTTGCTGTAGTTTTTTCCTGCATCTGATAAATATCTAAATTATCTTGGAAAATGAATAATGAAAAGTATCTTGCCAAAAAAAAAGTTTAATAGTCATAATTTGAAAAACCAATAACATCGTAGTTAAGACTGATCTTAATTGGAGTTTAATTTGATTAGTTAAATGGTTATATATATATATATATAATTTACAAGATATTAAATTTAGATGATTGTTAATTGCTAAATGATGATTCAGATAATTTTTGCAAATTTAATACATGATTATAATCTAAATTGAAATTGAATTAATCAAAATGTGAAACTCTTTTTAAACATCTTAATTATACATACAGGTTTTTTATCTTGGTTCATCGTTTCTTATATATTCATATATAAAATTTATCTTATAAATTATAAGGATTCTATTTAAATAAGTATGCAATAAATTAAAAGCATAAAATTCATGATTTATGATAAAAATTCTTAGAATGAAATGTAGAATAAATTTAGGTATTGATGAAGTTTTAATATTTTTTGGGTCTATACACGAATTCAAGTGTTGACTTGTAAGTGTAAATACAGGAGAGAAGCAAGTAAAATTTAGAGAACAATAATTATACATCTTATGGTGGGTAATTATAGTTTTAAATCAAAGTAGTATTTCATTCTTCTAATTTTCTTCATTTGATAAATATTATGGTATCATTCGACCAATTGATAAAATTAAATGTATATTTATTATTATATTAGCTTCTCATAGATTAATGTTTAAGTTCATATAGAATGGCACTCATAACCTAATGGAAATATAATAACTCATTGTAAGACATAGATCACCATAAAAGATAATGTATGTTATGTGTAATGTAAATAAATTATTTTGTATAAGAATGCTTGTATGTGCATATTGAAAGAAGTTCACCTCATCATTGTATTAGTTGGGGTTGCTAATATTCGTGCATGTTTATTGTTTTTTTGATTTCTCAAAAAAGAAAAAAAAGAGTGAAAATAAGGCACACATTTTTATGTCGATGGAGGATGTATCAATGATTAGTCAGCATATGTTTTTTCACCTATGATAGTAGTAAATTTGTTTTACTATTGTACCAACAAAAAACTTATCGATCATGGGCGAGTTAGGTAATGTCTAGACGGTGCTACTAAAATGGATGTATAAATTAAGATATGTAAACTTATTAATAATTTAAAGTATCTATCCTATAAAGTAAATGAATAGTTATGCATCCTAAAGTTTTTTACATTTAATTTTTTTTTGGAAAGTATTTATTGATTTTATTAAAAATGTTCAGTTTACCACATAATTTCTTTAACGTGCAATGGGATGATGATTATATATATTTCTATTTCTGTAATTTGAAATTATAATTATTCCACTAGTTTATTTTATTAGCTCACTAAGTTGTTTATACAAGTAATTTAGGTTGTGAAATTAGAGAGAGTATACTGTTGACACGACCACCCAATAGAAAGATAATTATTCAACTACTTTATTTTGATAGCTCATTAAGTTGTTTGTTTTATTAGATATTTAATGTAGATTTTGTGGTGTTATGGTTCTTTCATTATTTTTGGATTTAGATAAAATTTTAGAAAATATATAAATTTAAATTTATTTGTAATTCAGAGATAATAGTTAAAGTTTAAATCACCATTCAATTGTCTGTTTAGCTCTTGGTAATTTAAAGCCTTCGAGCTCAATCATGACATTTTTTGTCGATAAGTCCGGCATGTTATAAGTTTTGTTCACCTTGTTTGTTACAAACCTATGACGGTAATGCTAATAAGTGTACCGGCTAATGTGGCACAAATATCATTTGGTGATGCACTGATTAAATGATGGGTTATAATCAGATTTTAGTTTAAGTGTATCCAATGAAGTTAATGATGTCCGGAAATTCATTGAGTATGAGATTATACAGTAGAGAAAGAAATTTCTGAGGTAATAGAAACAGATAAAAATACTTGGGTGTTCAGACATGTGTACTGGACAGATAGCAGACGCCAACAATTTTATTTTATTTAGGTTCAGTTCAAATGCATATATTGGCTGGAATAAAGAGAATGGTTGTGATAAATAATAAGTTGTTTGTGAGATAGATCTGCTGTCCAGATGCTTCTTTGCATTTTACTTTAGATGGATTGAAATTTTAAATGCTGTCTATGAGAAGTTTTATCATACAGAGGATTATTTGTGTTCTTTTTTTAAAGTTCTGAGCACTTCAGTAGAGTATATTGCTGAAAAAAATGTTTTGTATTGTGATTTTTCTGTGTAACTGATTTCTATTTAAGCTTATAGCATCTAAAGAATCTTGTTGTAAAGCTAAGATAAAAATTTGACTGTTTGTTGTTGGCCCTCATAGTTTTAATGCAACAACTTCTGCAGATCTATCTCCCAAAGAGCTGGAGGTTGCAAAGTCTTATCCACCTCATGCATCAATTTGCATTAGAGATGGTTGGCAATTTGACCGTCCAGATCTGGCTGCTGGTACGTCTTTTGAATATTTTGATTCACTTCTTATATAGCCATACTGATTTTTCTGTTACAATGACATGCATCTCTGTGCTTTCATTTATAGCTTTCTTGCAATTATCAACATAGATCGAAGGAGGGCTTCCCCCAACATATCCTTGCCAACGTAGATTATATATTAATTGATACTCTGAATAAAGTGGTTATCTAGATAGTCGATGAAAACAATTATTGTTGAAATTCAAAATAATGCAGAATCATATTATTGATACGAAACGGGAGTATAAATAACCCTCGTATGAATCCTAGAATAGGAAAAATAATAAAGAGAAAATAACAAGAAAGAAAATATATACCACCTATATCTCCAATAATCAATACATATTAATTACTTGGAGATAAAGGAAAAAACATAAAGCATAAAGTAGGAAAGGAAATAACTCTAATCCAAGAAAATAAATTTAGTCATCATAATTTCTAATAGAAAAAAAAATTATTTCCTAATGTAAGTTCTAAAACTCCTCAAGTTAAAACATGGTTGAAAACAATGTTTAACATTTTCTTGAAAATGTGAAAAAATGGGCGAGGAAGATTCTTGCAGTTTTCATCCCGTACTTGGTAATCAACCCCAAGAGCATTTAGGGATATATTTAGTTGACTGCGGTTGTTTTGACTGCAGTTTTTGCAATGTCTGGCGGTAGACGAATGACTCTAAAGGTAATGCTGCAGGAAAGTTTGCAGGGAAGTAAACAATCTACAGGAAAAGCTGCCGAGCATAGTTTGCAAGGAAAAAAAACTCTGAAGGAGGGCTTACTGCAGAAAAAAGGGGGAGGGCCTGATGCAGGGAAAAAACTCTGGAGGAGGGCCTGCTACAGGAACAATTTCCAGAGGAGGGCCCACTGCAGGATGAATTCCAGTGGAGGACTTGCTGCAGGATGAATTCTGATGAAGGACTTGCTGCAGGAGGAATTCTGGAGAAGGAACTGATACAAGAAAAAACTTTGGAGGAGGCCTTGATGTAGGAAAATGTTTCGAAGAAGAGCTTGGTGCAGGAAAAGGTTCCGGAGGAGGGTCTGCTGTAGGAAGAATTTCGGTGGAGGATTTGCTGTAGGAAAAGCTTCGATGGAGGGCCTAGTACAAGAAAACATTCCGGAAGAGGGCCTAATGCAGTAAAGGCTCTAGAGGAGGGCAAGGTAATAAGCCTTTTCTATTTTGCTTCATGAGCCTGCCTTTCCTTTGTAATAAGGAATGTCTTCTCTACATGTTTTTTCTTCTTCCCAGCTGCTAGCAGTCTTTGAATTTTATCTAGGCCTTCAATAACAACATTGCAGGATCTCTCTAGGCAAACAGGGCAGAGATCTGTGCCATCACAAATGATCAGAGATTGCAAACCCCACTCTCTTGCAATATTATGTATGCTCATGACAGGCAATGTAAGGTAATTTGATGGTGCAAAAAACTGGTATGGTCGTATCAGATTGGGTACACGTTAATGTACAAGTGCATGATGGCCGCATATCCTGGCAACCTCAACCGAAATCCAAACGTTACTGTTCAAATTTAATCGACTAGAACCTCTAGACAAGTGTAACTGACAACATCTAAGATTCCCTCCATAAGCTGCATAATGGAAAGGAGTGCTTCCTGCCCCTATCATCGAATTCATCAAAGATCCATAATGAAATGTCACGACGGCAATTTCAAGTAAAAGTTGAATGCACTCAATATAGCCATTCAAAGCAACTATGTGAAGAGCAGTGATACCACAATCAGTTGGCTTGCTAATAAATTTTGCCAGAGCAATCTGACCATATCTATGTCCTAAAGATGAATGACTATTGTTCCTGCTACATCCATCGTTTTCCTTAACCTCAAGAGAAGCTGCTGTCGTATAGGTAGCGCTAGGAATAAATTTAGCAGTCAAAAACCTTATGCACCTAACATGGCCACACACCACTGTAAAGTGTAGCGCCGTCCTAGCACTCAGATACTCTGCTCTATTAACATTGCAGTGATAGAGAAACTGTTTGCAGGACCTCCCAGTGCCCGTGTCGGCAAGCTTGCATCAGGGTCGTCTGGCCACAATAGCTCCTCGAATTTACGTCCTCCCCATTGTGTAGCAACAACGTAACTATATCGATGTGGTCCATTGCAACAACGAAATGGAGTGGAGAATTAAGGCCTTCAAAGTTTGAGTACTTGGGAAGGCAAGGGTTGAATTCGAGCAACATGCAAGCCTCGATAAGGTCACCATCTCTCGTTGCCGACATAAGACATTCCTCGTAAGTCTAGCTACCCAGCGAGTTTCCCATCGTTAACTAGGCCGGCGACGACGGTCTTCTAAGACCACTCTTTGTCTCTCCTATCTCTAGCTTTCTTTGCCAACCTTTCAGTGCACGTCTACGTTCGCCGAGGAAAAGAAAATGGACCAACGAAGGCCGGTCCACCTAACCCAGGATGCATTTTATCCCGTATCACAATGTAATTATGAGGACATGGAATTAATCCCCTAAAAGAGAATGCGTCCCTCCCTTTCTACAGGGAGGATGGCAGGAAGAGAGTTCGACGACTCTGGAGGAAGGATCAGTAGCAAGGATAGGGAGTTTGGCTCTGATACAATGTTGAAATTCAAAATAATGCGAAATCATATTATTGATATGAAATGAGGGTATAAATAACCTTTACATGAATCCTAGAATTGAAAAGGCAATAAAAAGGAAATAACAGGATAAGGAAAGATATAACACCTATATCTCCAATTAATTAATAAGGAAAGATATAACACCTATATCTCCAATTAATTAATACATATTAATTACTTGGAGATAAAGGAAACCACATAAAACATAAAATTGAAATGGAAATAACTCCACTACAAAGAAATAAATTTAATCCCCATCACTTCTACTAGGTTATTTCTTAACGTAAGTTCTAACAATTGCATTCTTTAATTTTGATGCTTTTCAACTCTGACTTTAATTTATTGCATCGAAGAATTTTTTATAGAGATTTCTGCGTAATGAATTTTCGTCTTGTTTTCTAGAAATGACCCATGTCATTTACATAATGTCTTATACTTTTTCAAATGGTTTCAGTAAAATTTGAAAATGTATGGCCTTATTCGAACTACATTAACCATAAAATTGTTTAAAATTCCAGTCTGTAGGTGGCATTATAATTTCAACCTATGAGAGTTTCCATAATTCTATAAGTTAAGGGTTTGAAGAGAAGAAAGGGGATGACTGACCTCACATATGGAAGTGTTAAAGCTCTGCTAGCTTGATATGCTACTGCTTAAATGGAGGATTTCCATAAAAAAAGTTAACAACATCTAATTTCGTTCATTGTGCAAAATACTAATCAGACGGTCTGCTTGGATGAGTGGTTATTTGCATTGCCCTAATCTTAAAGGACCAGTAGCCTTATCAGTTGAACATAACCATATTGAGTGGCATTTTGCTGTAAAACATTCCAACTCTCTATGTGCTTGTTAGAATGTTGCCCTGGCTGAAGTATAAATAACTTTCTTAATTGATACGTTGAGGAAATGCTGGGGATTAAGTCTCAAAAAAGGAACAAAATATAGTCTCAGCAATGTGTCTATGTGTCAGTTTGTTATCTGCTGCTGCTCAATATCAGCCTAGCTCGTGCTGTATGGTAGCCATTTGGCTCGGATTGCTAAGGGGTCGTTTGAGATCATTTCTACTTCTTGTTTTTTATTTTATTTTGTTTATGTTTTGATATAGGTTAGAACATGTTTGATTAAGTTAGTTGTTTATATTTTATATTTTATATTTTTTTATTTTTTATATTTTTTATATTTTTTAATTTTAAAAAGCTAGTTTTTTTTTTAAATGCTCAAAACATCTTTTAGATTCTTGGAGTGTTTTTAAGAACCAGTCGATTAGTTTTTTAAAGCAAAAAATAAAAACACATACAAGTTACACCAGCCAAACATATTTTCAAAAACAAAAGAGAAAAAAAACGAGAAACAAAAGTGAATCCAAACAGGCTCTGACAGTTCCATTTCTCTTTTAGCATGCTTTTCCTATTTTATTTCTTGCTGTCACTGGGCAGCTACATATTAATACTTGGGAGGTGCTACAAATACTATGCACCAAGAAAATGATTGCAATTTATTAACTCTCTAGGTTGTCAGTTGTACAAGTTAATATATTATAATTTTTATCTATTTGTTAGCGTGGTCTTGCAGTGTTTTATACCTGTTTGAACCAGTTTGTTCTAGGTGGGAAGATTATTTTACTGAACGTGTTAATTGAGCAGATGAATTCAGATCATGGATTGAAATGTAATACTAGGGCTGCGGAATTGAAAATTTTGGTATTTGATAAATATTAAGAGTAGTGTCTAACCAGATAAATGCATCCGGCTAAATTTCATGCTAACTTTTGATGTAGCTCATGACTGATAACTCATCAAAAATGCGTAAGCTTCTAAGCTTTGTACCTTTGGCAGATTCAACCTTTTCTTTTCTTCTTGAGAAGTGGAAGGAACACTTGCCCCCTGGTTTCATGCTTGAGGAGACTTCTGTTGACCAACCATTTGAAGAAGATATTTGCCATTGTCATTTCAGATTTATTAATTTGAGCAGTGACTCTGAATTGGTCCTTAAATATCAATGGTTTGTTGGCGAAAGGACTCCAAGTAAATTTGAGGCTATTGCTGATGCAATTGAAGAGGTATAGCATGTATAAATTTTTAACCAAGGCTAGCCTTGTTTTATTTTGCATTTCATAAATAGGATAATGTATATATTTATGACAGACGTACTGGCCAAAACATGAGGATATTGGGAAATTCTTGAAAGTTGAATGCACTCCCATACTAAAAGAGGCAGTGTTTCCTCCCATTTTTGCTATTTCAGCACCTGTTTCCCCAGGTTTTCCTGCAAACTTATTAATTTTAAGCATTTATTTTGCACATTATATATTTCTTACATGGTGAACATTCAAGGTTCTGCATTTATTACCACAATTTTTATGTCCAACTCTCTTTTTTCTCTAATTTGAATTTGGTCTATCTTTCTAATGCCTCTTTTATTATAATTTTTATCCTTAATTTAACTTTTTTGTTTTTTAATCTGATTTGGAAGATTCGGTATGAATAGCCTGCTTGATGAAATTTAAATCATTTTTATATATATCAAGAATTGTCAAAATTATCTATACCGAAACTTATTGATTTTTCAATAAATCTTCCAATACATGAAAATGCCACTAATTTATAAAATTTATTTATTTCTAAATAAAAAGTTACACTATTCTTGTCTTATATTTGTACAAAATATCTTTTACATTTGTGATATCTGTCAATTATCTTTTCTCAGTTGTTCCTTTTCTGCCTCACTCAAATTCTTTTCTTTTGCTTATTTAATTCAAATGAGTTATTCTCAAAATGAATATCAATTAATAGGTTGAGTATATGGACAAATTGGCTGTTAATTACAGTTCTAAATTATAGTAATTCAAGAAGAAATAATAATATTCATTTGGATTATGATAAAAATGACTTATCATTTCACATTAGCTAGTGTTTTGAATATAAATGTTTGTTACACGTAAAGGGATAGAAAAGAATGTCATTCCTTAATTACTTGCGTTTTGTTATAATGCACCAAATTAGTTGATTATCATTTTTAGGAAAAACTTCTTTTCGACTAGATTGGCTCGAGGTTGAATATAATAAAAGGAGAATGACGAAATAATCATCTAATTTCATATGTATAACCTTATATTTTGCAAATATATAAGACGTAATAGTGTATCTTTTTATTATGTTATGGAAAAATATTAAAGTTAATAGTTGTATATTAGGAAGCTTGATATTAAATAACCTAATTAGAGATCTAATTACAAGATGTTTTCTATTTTAAAAATATTCCTAATATATAGAAAGAGGAGTGTATATAAATATGTAATATATGCTTTTAATTGAGGAATAAGAAGAAATGAAATTTCTATGTTACATGGTATCAGAGCTTTATCGAATCATTCCTGTCTGAGTCTTTTGTCTTCGACGTTAGCCTCTGGGAATCGTTCTTCTTCAGATCGAGCTCTTTTCTAATGGCTTCGTTTGCACGAACACGAACGACTTTATTTGCATCACAAGGGCATCATGCCAATGTGACATCATCTGGCTCGTAGTCTTCACCTTGTGACATTTTAGTCTGTGTCATTCAACTTCATGTGCATCTACCTTGCCTTCGGCTTCCTCTTTGCTTGATTTTGTTTTCGTTCGGAAGCAATTGGTGGCTTTGTCTTCTATTTCACCATTGCTCATCTTCTTCATATTCGACATTGTTTGCTTCATGCGGCTTGGTCAATTTCGTTTGTTTATGTCGACTACGTTAGTTGTTTCGTTCAACCACTTCACTTTCTTGTTTGACTTTGTTGCCTGCTTCGTTTGATTTTGCTATGTCGCTCATCTTGTTTGCTTCGTCTCGCCCTTTGACTAATCCATATTTAATCTCATATTTGGTGATAATCTTGATTATGGAATGTAATATGGTGTGGCAAGTTTGGTCTCATCAGTGGCTAAAACTACAGATGAAAAATTAAATAATGTCAATTATTTTTATTGGACTAAAATCGTGAGACTCTGCTTAAGAAATATTTCTAAAGAGAGTCATCTCATTATTAATCCCCAGCAAAGACTTAATTGAATTATTTTGAGTGGATTGGGATTGATGCCCAACTTTTGATATAAATACAAAAATCTGTCAAATCTAATCAATCTAGTTATGTTATTCATTGTGACTGTGTTAAAGATGCGATGGAGAAAATGACATGTGTTTTTTGAGATAATATTTTTCAAATCTTTGATGTATGCAAGGTGTTCTATCGAGTTGGGCAACAAAATCAATCACTTAACGCGCATCACATGTATTTTAAACGTGTTTCTAAAGAATTGGTTGCACTATTACCCTTTAATATTGACGCCGAACGCAGAAGGCTCAACGTGACAATGTCAAATCACATATCCTATTTAACCCAGGTATTGCTATGCAGCGGGAAGCTTATATTAGAGTGTTGAACATTATTCTAAGTTCTTTGGCTTCATTTTTATAACAACATAGTGCTCTTGCTAACTTAAAAAAAATATAGACACCACGAAATTATGAAAATGGAACTCCGAATTCTGGAAATCATGCATTGAGGGTTGTTTGTTACTGTTGCCATGAAGCTGACCATATGAAGAAAATATGTTAGAAGTTACTCAAAAAGAATAGTAAGGGTTCTAGATCACAATTAACTCATATGGTCATTACTAATGAGACCTTCCAAAGGCAGACTCGATTTTTGCAGATGAATCTGCATATGTTAAATTCATCCAATTTCATCATGCATCCAAGAAATCTCATCTGTCATTGCCCTTGCTGAGTCAGGTAAAAATGATATATCTTATTTTCTCTTCCACACAATGGGTCATTGATTCCGATGTCACAGATCATATGATATGTAATCTATAACTCTTTTCCATTTTTCATAAATAGCTTTCTTTTGTCATCTTAGCAGATGGATCTACCTCTAATGTTCTTGGTTCTTCACAATTAATGCAACATATACACTACTTTTAACGTTTGTCATTAATTAACATGAATTCTATTTTAGTCTTGTCTCTGTTAGCAAGATTGCAGATGCTCTTAATTATTGTATCTTATTCTACGATGGCCATTTTCTTTTTTAAGATCTTACGACGAAGAAGATTATTGGTAAAGAAACGAGAATCAGACGGACTATACATTTTGGATAACAAACTACCTTGAGCCATAGTCTGTTCTAGCTCAGTTTGAAGTCCATTGTCGATTAGGAGATCTATCACTACAAATGCTGAAAAAGTTAAATCCTCAGTTTTAAAATAATCATCTTTAGATTGCGAGTTGTGTTAATTTGCTAAACATAATCATTTGTTTTCAATTCCCAAATTTAATAAGAGTTATTCATAATTTTGAGTTTGGTTCATTTTGATGTATGGAGACTCTGCCTTGTTTTGTCTAATGTATTTCAATATTTTGTCACTTTTATGGATGATTTTTTTGTATGATTGGGCTTTATTTTATGAAATTTTATTCTGTGTTACTGTCACATTTTCAATCATTTTATGCTGAAATTTAAACTCAATTAATTTTTTTTGTTAAGATTATGAGAAATCACAATGTTAATGAATATTTCTCTGCACCTTTTTAAGACATATATGACGGAAAACTTGATGCTTCATTAGTCTTTGTGTTCGATACTCCATTCCAAAATGGAGTAGCTGAAGGGAAATATAGAAATCTTCTTGTGCTAACTAGATCTATTTTATTTCAAACAATGTACCCAAATAGTTCCGGGTTGATGCAATGCTTTTTTCAATCTGATGCCTTATATTATTTTACAATATTAGATACCCTACCAAGTTTTATTTCCAACCAACTCTCTTTTTATTTGAACCACATATATTTGGGTATATTTGTTTTGTTCATGACACTCGTCAACAAGTTTCAAAACTGGACCCTAAGTCATTAAGATGCCTTTCTAGAATACTTGTTTGCGAAAAGGGTATCAATATTTTCCCCCTTTTAAATAGGTAAATAGTCTCTGTTGATGTGAACTTTCATGAATAAACTCATTCTTTGTTGACTCAGCCTTGGCTAAATCCTCACATTATTTTGATGATTTGTTAATGTATCACATCAGTAGTCAGTAGTTCAACTCCACTTCCATCACTAGTGCCTCAGGCTAGATCACCTACACCGATGTTTACTCAAGAAGCGGCACTGATATTCTCTTCTTCAGTGGATTCTTCTCCTTGTGGCCTTGATTTACTTATTGCTCTTCAAACAGATAATTATCACGTCCTGGCCTGATAGCTATAAAACTAACTAAGTCAGGAACTGCAGTTGGACGATAATAATCATTTTTTTAATTATTCAACAAACCATCTCTTTTAATAATAAAAGAAGTCGTTAAAAAACATGAACTACACGAAATATAAATCAAATCTAACCAACCTAACAATATAGTCCGAAAGTTAGATATTATCATAATCTAATCAACAACATTACAACAATGATTTGAAATAAAAAATTCAAGAAGTTAGACCATCCCGAACCAACTATTACCTAGTATCAATAGTCCTTCTGTAAACCAACTCTCTTCTGTTAGTCATATCAACCTGGAATTTTTTGAAAGAAACAATTAATTTAAAAATTTAGTTGATCACAAATTAGCGAGCAATTACAATCTTATTATGTATTAAATTAATATGCAAACATTATGATTGAATGTTTTAAAGAATGTGATATATTAATTAATAAAACTGTAAACTTTCATTTTAAAATAGTCATTTCTGTTCAATTTAAGTCATTTATTTTTCTAACATTTGTCTTTATTTTAAAAAGTCATATCAGAATCACTATCATACCTGAATGTATCATAAAAAATTGTGCCCATATGTACCCTAAATAGTTTACCTGTAGGCACCCTAAATATTTTGCACTTAAAAGTATACATTTACCATTTCCACATCCTTTTTCATGCATGTGTACAATAACGTCCCGAGTTAGTATCATAAAAGTGTAAGTCCTGATTGACTTAAAACCTCTACTTATCATTTAATATCAATTTAAATTTATTTAAATCTATTTTCATATTTTAATTATTTTCCTCCCATTTGTGGGACATCTTTCAAACATTCAAAATTTAAATCATAAATAAAATATTTGCTTTAAAATAATATTGGAAGTGCATTTTTACCGGTGTTATTATACTTCTTTATCCTTAAAATGTAATTTTTAAATAAATCATTCACTTTTTACCAGTAAGAAAGCAATTACTTATCTAAAGTTGGAATGTCTTTCTCTTTCCCTTGAATTCCGC